GGACTCGGAGGAACGCCATCATGCCGATGTCCTGTCCTACCAGGTAGGGCAGCATCCTGGATATCGGCCAGTGGGGAGGGACCATCCAGCTGCTGGGGAGGAGCACGGTTAGAGCTGGTGATGATCTGTGACAAATGCTCAGGGTTGTGTCTAGAGATGGCCTCTTCCAGTTCCTGGTGCTCATCCCTGACAGAGCTATCCCCTGGCTCTGCCTTTCTTTGACCTGCCTGTGGTATCAGTCACAGATGGCTCAGGTCACACCTTGTGTCCCAGCTCAGGGGAGCGCAGCCCAAAAGGCTGTGCTGGGTGGTGGCCAGAGGCTGAAACACTGTCCCCAGGGTGATGCCCCGTCCCCATCAGCTTCAGGCAGTGGTTTGGTGGCCACAGACTCACCTGAATCCTAGAAACATTCTCGTTGCTTGTCCCTGCTTTAGGGAGTTCTGGAAGGGGCTTAGGGCTCCCAGGAGGGGTGGTGCAGAGCTCCATCAGGAATGGGACACATTGAAACAGCCCCTGGACACATCCCCTGCCCTCTGCATCTGCAGTGGGGGGTGGTTGCAGCCCCTCTGTGAGGGCACCCTGGTGCTGGCTGAGCTGTCCCTCCCCGGAGACCTGGGCAGTATTTAGGGGTGCTCTGTGTCCCCCTGTGCCAGGGGACTGTCCCCTCCCCATGTCACCAGTTGCTCTCCCTGCCTGCAGGAAACCATCCAGCAGCTTGACAGCGAGCTGAGGAACACCAAGTGGGAGATGGCAGCTCAGCTCCGGGAGTACCAGGATCTGCTCAACGTCAAAATGGCCTTGGACATTGAAATTGCTGCCTACAGGTATGGGGCAGCGGAGGTGTTCCTGGGGACACTCCTTGAGGGAGATGGAGCTGGAGGCCATGGCCAGCAGCTCCTGGTCATGGGGGGAGAAGGGAAGCAATCACTGACTGCTCTACTCTGGTCAATTCCTGGCAGGAAGCTCCTGGAAGGGGAGGAATACCGGATGGAGTCTGGCTTGGGGATGCTGTCCTTCCCTGAGGTGGTCCCCAAGGCTCCCAGCATCGCCACCAGCATCAAGGTGAAGAGTGAGGAGAAGATCAAGGTGGTGGAAAAATCCGAGAAGGAGACAGTGATTGTGGAGGAGCAGACAGAGGAAATCCAGGTGACCGAGGAGGTGACGGAGGAGGAGGAGGAGGAGGCGGCCGAGAAAGAGGCTGAAGAGGAGAAGGCTGAAGAGGAGGAGGAGGAAGAAGAGAAAGCTGAAGCAGAGGGCGAAGAGGAGGCCAAGTCCCCCGAGAAACCCGAGTCCCCCTCGAAGGAGGAGGCCAAGAGCCCGGTGCCTGTCAAGTCCCCTGAAAAGCCCCCAACTCCCTCAAAGGAGGAGGCCAAGACGCCTGTTGTGAAGTCCCCAGAGAAGCCCCCAACACCTGCAAAAGAGGAGGTCAAGAGCCCCGCTGTCAAGTCCCCAGAGAAGCCCCCAACGCCCTTGAAGGAGGAGCCCAAGCCCCCGGCAGCGAAGTCCCCAGGGAAACATGCACCTCCACCAAAGGAGGAGGCCAAGACCCCTGCTGCCAAGTCCCCAGAGAAGCCCTCACCCCCCTTGAAAGAAGAGGCCAAGGCCCCTGCAGTGAAGTCCCCAGAGAAACCTGCGGCACCCTCAAAAGAGGAGGCCAAAGCCCCAGAGAAGCCGCCAACCCCTTCTAAAGAAGAGGCCAAGCCCCTGGTAGTGAAGTCCCCAAGCCCCTCGAAGGAGGGGGCTAAGACCTTGACTGTGAAGTCCCCTGAGAAAGCCAAGTCTCCTGTGAAGGAGGAGGCCAAGTCTCCACAGAAGGAAGTGGCACCGGCCAAGGAGCCCACCCCCTCCCCTCCAAAGGAGCCGAAAGCCCCTGCGAAGGAAGAGCAGCCCAAGGAGGTGAAGGCTTCCTCCAAGCCCGGAGCTGAGGAGGGCAGGAAAGAGGAAGCTCCCAAAAAGGATGCTCCAGCCAAGGTGGAGGAGAAGCCCAAGGAGAAGGTGCCGGAGCCTGCAGCTCAGGAGGTGAAGGAGCCCGCCAAGCCAGCCCCCAAGCCTGCAGAAGGAAAAGCCAAGGAGGCAGCTCCCCCAGAACCCCAGCCCGAGCTCAGCAAAGCAGCTGCAAAGCCAAAGGCTGAGGAGAAGGTTGAGGAGCCAAAGAAGGAGAAGGTTGAGGAGCCAAAGAAGGAGAAGGTTGAGGAGCCAAAGAAGGAGAAGGTTGAGGAGCCAAAGAAGGAGAAGGTTGAGGAGCCAAAGAAGGAGAAGGTTGAGGAGCCTAAAGCTAAACCCAAAGAAGAGCCCAAAGCCAGTAAAGACACCCCCAAGGCTGAGGCCCCCTCCAGCAAGGAGGGCAAAGCCCCAGAGCCGACCGTGGGGAAGAAGTGAGCGGAGCCCCGGGCACTGAGGAGCACCTCTGGGCACAGGAGCTGCTCTGCTCCTCCCCAAGGGCTGGGCCAGCCTTGCCCTTAGCACTATGTCCATGTGAGAGCCACAGCCCCTCGTGCCCTGCCCAAAGCTTCCCTCGCTGAGTGTGACACGTTTAACACTTGAATATAACCCAGGAGAAGAGCCCCCAGCGCCCTTCTCCACCAAGTGCATTTATCTCATGTACGTGCAACCGATGGATGAGCGCAATGCAGAGCTCCAGCTGCTTGGGACGGGGCTGCTGGTGACAACTGTCCCTCTGAGCGGTGACCCGGGTGGCAACTGGCTCTGGTGGGAGAGGCTGGGTGCTGCGGGGCCGCTTGCTGATACACATGGGGCACCAGGAACCTCAGCCCACTGTTGTTTGCTTCCTGTGCAATAACCAAATACAGTGCTTACAGAGATGCTCTGGCTCTGCTGGCTCCTCTCTGGGGGGGACGAGGAGGAGGAGGAAGGGGTGGGGAAGCGTGGTTTGGGGTGCTGGGATGTGGCACGCAGGGCTGGGGGGCTGACTTGGGGTGTTCCAGGGAGGAAAGCCCAGCCCAGGGCTGGAGCCAGGGTCAGCCCCTGCTCCCCATGAAGTGCTGCAGTGGGGTTTGTTCTTCCTTCTCTTTCTAAGGCATAGCTCCAGGGGGCTGGGGGGGCCTGCGTTAATGCTGCACTGTGCACTGATGGCAGGGGCTGAATGGAAGCAGGGAGAGGGGCTGGCAGCTTCCTGGGGGGAAAACTGCCTGCAGGGAAGAAGGGGAGAGGAGGGAGGGACAAGGACCTTGGGAGTAGGGACAGACCCCACCTCCCTGTCCCCATACAGGGCGACCTGGGGTGCAGGATCCCCCCCAGCCCCTCATACGGTGCAGGGAGGTCCTGAAGCACCTCTGCAGTGTTGGGGTTGTGCTGAGTCAGCTGGGAGCCAGCACAAGGACAGGCTGGGGCTGCAGTGCAGGCTCTGCAAAAGGGCTATTTTTAGCTATCTCAATTTTTAGCTATCTCAGTTCCACGGTCCCAAGGCCCTGCAGCAGGGAGGGAGGGAGGGCAGGAGGCAGGCAGTGAGCCAGCCAAGGGGAGATACCAGCAGCAAGTCAGCACCAGAGCCTGGGGCTTGCTGCAGCCCCCATGGGTCCCCCAGCACACACAGGGCACCCACACGCTGCTCCAGTTCAGTGTTTAATCCCTTTGGCTACAAAACCCTTCAATGCAACTCAAAACCTTGGGAAAGAAACTGCACAGGGTGGGATGGGGATGCTCAGGCCAGGGCAAAGCCCAGGGAGTGCTCAGCGATGGCTGAAGAACCCCTGGGGGTAGTTGAACTTGAAGGGCTTCAGGCGCAATGGTCCCCTGCAAGAGAAGAGAGAAAAGCTAAGCCATAGCAGGCAGGAAGCCAGAGGCAGCTAAAGGAGAGGCTCCAGGTGAGGCAAGGCTGTGCTCCAGGGGACAGCAGTGCCACTAGTGTCCTGCCAGCACACTCAACCCATACCCAGCTCCTCACCGCCCCAGGGACCCCCCGGGCTCTCACCTGACCAGCCGCAGACACATCTTCTCCTGGGGGAACTCCTTGGGCCCCTCCACGCTGGTGTCGTGGGGCTCTGTCTCCAGGTACACATCCAGCACCATGCACAGCCGCTGCAGCTGGTTGGTGAGGAGCTGGTGGCCAGGTTTGGGCCCCCACAGCTCCTTGTAGTTCACATTGACCTCGCTCTCCATAGCCTGGAAGAGGGACCGATGAGGAGAGTGCATATTTGAGTCTCTGCTCTGCCCTCCCAGCGCCTACTGCTGCAGCCAGAAGGGCTCACGGGTCTCCCCTGGTTTTTTTTAGTGGCTGCTCATGGACACGGAACTGCTGGGGACACCCCCAACAGCCCAGCAGATCTCCAGCCTCCTTTCCCCACACCCCACGTTACCCGAATGTTGTCGTCGTTGCTGCCCGTTCGCTCTCCTTTCCAGTTGAGGCAGAGGCTGAAGATGGGTGGCAGCGTGGAGTAACCGGGGTTCAGGACCACGGCTGCCTGGAGCTTGGCTGGGAAGAGCAGGGAAGATATATCACCCATGGGGACTGCCTCCAAATGGAGGGATTCCCCATGAAAAGCTGCCCTGGGGGCACCCAGTGTGGGAATTAGAAGTTGCCAGGGGAAGGAAAGGCACTTACCTGTTCCCCTTTCTATCAGGGCCATGTAGTAGAGGTGAGTGTCTTCAGCCAAGCCAGCCTCGATCACATCTTTAGTGTAAGGCAGCTCCTGTGAGAAGAGACAAGAGGAATGAGGTGTTGGTACCGTGCAGGAGCTGGGAGGGACGAAGGAATCCAGCCTCATGCTCGGCACCTACCGCATAGTCCTCATAGGGGATGGCAGCCCACTTCACCAGGCGTGAGACGATCTTGGTTGGGAAGAGGTGCTGGCACTCGCTGGAGACTGGCACCACCCCATGCTCTGAAACCAAGGACAAGGCCACCTGAGCAGGGCAGGGCTGGGGACAGAGCTCTGTCACTGTCCTGCAGGGGGGATGCTCCAAAACCGGGACCTGAAGACATCATTATCCTTCTGATAGATGCCCAGATTGAAGCAGTGGAGGTGTGGGTCACCTCCCACCACAGCCCAAATCCATTCCCAGCCCAGGGATGGCCAGTCCCAAAGGGGTGCTGTGGTCTGAGAGGGGGCACAGCCTTCCTCTCCTGCCAGAAACAGGGCAGCCCCCACTGCCCCTGAGGTCTGAAAGAACAGCTGGGAAGGGAGGGGGGCACCGTGCAGGGTGGCATCAGTCAGGTCTCTGCAGGAAGACCCTGCTGCCACAGCCCCTGTCCCCAAGGCACTCACCCAGAGATGCAAACTGCTTGTGCAGGGCCAGGCGGGACTGAAACCTCGAGCGCAGAAGCTTCACCGTCAGCTCCATGTGGCTGGCGCTCAGGGTGTTGTCAGCAGTGACCGTGTGCTGTGGGCAGGAGGGGTGTCACCATCACACCAGCCTGTGGCCTCCAGGAGACACCCACCGAGCCACGGGGTGGCACAAGCCACTGCTCAGTGCCTCTAACAGGGCTCAGACTATCACATATGGGAGATAAAACATGTTGGTGTGGCCCCGCTGCAGAATGATCCCAACTGAACGTGCCTCATGGTTTGGGAGCCAGCAGGAGCTCTGGGGGGACAGGACATGACAACTGTCCCCTAAGCCTTCCCAAACACCACCTTGACACTCCAGTGAGGAGGAGAAGGAGGGTGTGATGTACCTGAGGCTGATCCTTGGGGAAATGCAGACCACCCAGCTTCTGCACCCACACGTAGGGGTGCCCCAGCTCTGTCACATAGTCGCTCAAGGTCAGGATGCTGTGGGGACAACGAGGAAGGGTTATGCCACCCCAGAGCATTCCCTGCCTGTGAGGCAGCTGGAGGGAGCACCCCAAGCTGTGCCCTGGGAGCCCACCCAATCCCAACTGGCAGGACACTGCCTTCCTGGCCACTGAGCCGTGCAGGACACACTCTGTGAAGCTGCCCCTGTTGTGTGGGGCAGGCACCACTCACCCCACTTTGTCGAACTGGAACTGGTTGGCCGGGTTGGGCGTTTTCCTCCCGTGGTCTCCTGGGTAGAGGCAGTTGAGGAGGGAGTCTGGGGAGAGCAGGTCACTGGTGGGAAGAGGGGAGAGAGGAATCAGCAGCAGCCGGTGCTCTCTATCACACTGGGGCAGCCACTGGCAGGCTCTGAGCCCAGAGAATGGGATCATGAGCTCCATGAGCTGGGTTTCAGGACCATGAATGGCTTTCCCCTAATTCTACTCCAAAAGACCTGTCTCCTCCCTGGCTGTGAAACCACAGGGCACCAGCTCCCCCACTTCCCAGGAGGCTGCTCGCTCCAGTGCATTAGCTCCCATTAAACCCCACTGATGTGCGTGAAGAAGCATCACCAGCACAGGCAGGGCACAGCCTCATGGCTGTTTGCCACCCAACAAGCTTAAGCAAAGGAATCCTGCTTCACAAAATCAGAGTCTTCACCTCTGACTGCACTCACAAGCCTGAACAAGCATAAAGGGCTGGAGGATTTGGGGTTTGGCTCAAGCCACAGCCTCCCTGGCCAAGTGCTGCGACGGAGGGAGCACCTTGCACGATGGGGACCCCACAGAGAGACTCTAACTGCTGCCATGGGGGATTTGGGTACCTGCAGGGAAAAGAGAACCCCAAGAGGTTCTTTCTTAGGGAGGCCTCATAGGGGACAGGCTGGGAGGCAGTGCTTGCTCCCATGTAAGCCCAGACCAGCCTCTCCCACTTCCCTCTTCCTCAGGTACCTCCTCCTGGCCCAGGATTGCCCCTGGAGAGTTGGCAGCTCCCTGGGCAGGCT